GTTACCCGTCAGCGAGCGTTTTACCTGTCAGCGAGCGTGTTACCTGTAAGATGGTGTCCTGCAGGTACGGGCTGATGAAGTGCGGCAGCGTCTCTGTGATTCGCTGCAGAGCTGTGACGGCGCTCAGCAGGTAGATCTCATTGGTCAGCAGCTCCTTCCTGTCACGGAGCGTGTGCAGAACTGCTGGCACCAACCTGCAGGAGTAAAGGTCACACAGGTGAGCTATTTGTGGGCGGGGCACAGAAAACAAAGCGAGGTGGGGTCATGTGACTCAGGTACCTGGGTAACTGAGGGATGGCTAGCGTCTTCAGAGTGCTGACCACCTCAGCGATGCAGAGCAGAGCGCTGCTCGTCACGTTCTTCTCCTGTTCCGTCGCCGTGACTATGTCCACAGCCTGCTGCAGAACAGGAACAAACGTCTCCTGGTGGGCGGGGCCAAAACTGCGACAGAGCAGCTTGAGGCTGTAGAGCGCTGTCTGCCTGTTGATGGCAAGCTCCGCCTCCTCAGAGACCATTGTATGACTTTTCCCCACAATGCTCAGCAGGTCAGAGGTCAGCTGCAGCAGCACGGATACCTGCGGCAGACAGATGTTCTCACAGTCAGAATTGCTGCACCTGGACCAGCACGTCCTGAATAATCAAGTGGAGGTGTTACCTGCTGCTCGTCCCACTGGGTTCGGTGCTGCAGCTGGTTGTTCAGCAGCTCCATGGCCTTCCTCCGGACTGACGCCAGCTCGTTTCCCATCAGCCCCCTCATCACCGTGATGAAGGTGTCTGTGGGCAGCAAGGCGTTCACCTGGACAGCATGAGGAGCTAAAGGTTAACCTGGACCTTGCAGTGGTTCTGATCAACAGTTATCCACATGTTCTGGAGCTCTTCTACTTGATAACTCTGGGTTTCACTTCCTGGACCTGAACTTTTGAGTGAACGTTTGACCTCACTCACACCTAAACTGGCTCCATGGCGTGCTCATGTGACTAACCTTGTCCAGAACCTCGTAGGCCTTGTTGAGCAGAACTCTCCAGAACTTGGCTGTGGGTTTGTCGGCGTTCTGCTCCACAGAGCAAGCCACGCTCTGGATGTACCGAAGGATGTCCTCCAGCAGCCTGAGACACACACACACAGTTTCCACCCTGAGGCCAGTTCTTCAGGTTCTTACAGCTGATGTTCTCATCACTCACCTCTGCTGTAGAGAAGAACAGATGGTGTCTCCTCCGTCTGCCACCTGAAACACATCAGAAGCTTCACAAACAAGAAGTTCTGGTCCAGTCAGAAGCTTCACAAACAGGAAGTTCTGGTCCACTCAGTCGTTAACCCCTCCCACCTTCTGGATGAAGCTGTTGGAGCCAAGCAGGTGGGCCATGAAGGAGACGCAGAGGAACTTAAAGTGTCGCAGCTCTTTGCTGCTGTGAGCCTCCACACTGAAGATCAGCTCCTCCACCTTCTCCTCCTCCTCCTTCTTCTTCTTCGCAGCTCGCTGGCCGCCGGGACGCTTCGCTGCAGCTGCAGGAGACAAAACAAATGTCAGAGTTGTTTTCTGGGACAGACTACGGTCGTTAGAACTCCTCACCTTCGTCTCTGTCGTCCGGCAGCTGCAGCAGGAAGTTCAGGATGTTCCTGAGGCAGGAGAGCTGGTGGCTGACGTCGAACTGACAGCACAGAGACACCCAGAGGTCCACATCCTGAACACAACACGCAGGAACACGTCAACACGCAGGAACACGTCAACACGCAGACAGTAAAACTGATCGTCACCTTATCGCTGCCGCTCTGTGTGGCGTGAAGCTTCAACAGCAGCAGCATCAGGACCCACAGGAAGTGGGCGGGGCCTAGCGTGGCCACCAGCTGACTCAGAATGGGCAGCCGTCGGTGCTCGGGCACGTGAGGCAGCGAGTCGGCAAACACGTGCACGATCTTCGTCACCACGACAACCATGTTGGAGGAGGCGGAGCCGTCAGAGAAGCGGTGGGCCTGAGCGGGAGGAGTTGGCGACACCTGAGGCTGGTTGTTGTGGACAGGTGAAGCTGTTCCTACCTGCAGCTGCCCGACTCACCTGGATGAGCGCAGGTATGACCATCTGCAGCGTCTTCTCGATCACCCTGAAGCTGTAGGCGTCGTCCAGGCGCAGGATGTTGGCGCCCATGAAGGTGAAGATGGGCATGATGTTGTGGAGGACTTTCTCCTGCAGGAGGAAACTGTCTTCATTCGTTTGTTTGTTGATGGTGACAGAGACAGAGGAGGCGGAGCTTACAGGGAAGATGGAGGCGACGGCGCCCAGCAGCAGCAAGGCGTGGTGGTGAGTCTGCGGCACATCGGACGTTCTAATGCACTGAACCACAAGCTCCACGCTGAACTTGTCCTCATCAAGGACGTCTGCAGGGAGCGAGCACACGCAGCAGAACACGGTAAGAACACGGGACAAAACCGTCCAACCAAAAACCCAGAACTGTCAATCATTATGAGAGAAACGGGTCAGAGACCTGCAGCCACTGGACCTCCATCAGGAGACAGTTTGTTACAGATGTTGAGCAAACAGCTGAGCAGCAGCTGCTTGGTGTACTCCATGTTGGTTATGTCACCTGCACACGGGTCCAAACACCTGAGCTCACACAGATCAGAACAAACAACAGAACAAGACTTATTTTATGATCTTGTGTCGTATGACGAGAACTCAGGAGAACAGACAGAACCAAGTCGAATGAAGAACTGAAGCAGAACGTTACCTGGAGAGCAGAGAAAACAGAACCGGCACCAACACCTGGGCCCTCTTCAGCTTCTTCTTGTGCTGCAGCAGCTCCAGGATCAGAGTGACTCTCTGCCACGGCACAGCGCCCCCCTCTGGACCCACACCGTCACTGTCTGGAGCTTTTCTGAGAGGGAGAGACGTTCTGGAGTTATTTCAGTTCTGATTCTGGACAAACCAACTTTTTGATAAGATATGGACAAACATCTGACTTGAGAAGATGCAGGTTTGTCCTGAAAAGCTTTTCTCTGCAGCAGGAAGCGAAATCAGGACAGAATTGTCTTATTAGGAGAGGCTACAATCTGGAATATAAAGCAGAGCATCATCTGCATAGAGTGTGACTTTCACACGGATGTGGTTGTGGCCACTGCAAGGCTAGGACAGCAGCTGACTGAGTTTCGAGCCCCGTCAGACGCACCATCCTGGGCACCAGGGCACCCTCTACTCGTCAGCACTACAAAAACAGCTGACGTCTGTTTTCCCAATGGTGTTCTGATCACAACAAGGATCAAGTCTCCTGTACAGTACCCACCATTCTGGAGTTTCTCCAGTCTCTACTTGGTAAGGGTCGCTGTCCTTCGACACTTAACGTTTATGTAGCAGCAGTATCATCTAATCACGCTGGCATTGATGGCTGTAAGGTAGGGAGCCATAATCTAGTCTCTCTCTTTCTGCGTGGTGCCCATAGGTCACACCCGCCGACAGCTCCACAAGCACTAGGTTGGGACCTGCCCTTGGTTCTCGAAGCTCTGTGCCGTCCTCCTTTCGAGCCTCTGACGCAGGCGGACCTCAAGTGGCTTTCATGCAAGACAGCTTTTTTGTTGGCTATTGCCTCAGCAAAGAGGGTCAGCAAGCTACATGCTTTCTCAGTCAGCCCCTCATGTCTCAGGTGGGGCCCTGAGGGCTTGTGTGTTACCTTGTGGCCAAACACTACATTTGTATCAAAGGTGTTATCTCACTCTCACTGCAACCAACCGTTGAGGCTGGCATGGTTTCAGCCTACACCTGGTGAGGGGTCTGGATTATTGTGCCTGGTGAGGGCACTGGAGGCATACGTTGCAGCTACTGCCGTGATAAGACATTCAGACCAGCTGTTTGTGTGTTATGGAGGCCCTAGGTTAAACTGTCCTCTTTCCAAACAGCACCTCTCTCACTAGATCGTGGACGTCATCTGCCACGCCTATGCTGCAGGGCCCGGCTCCCTGCCGGTCGGCTTGAAGGCTCACTCTACCAGGAGCATCTCCGCTTCCTGGGCAGCCCTGAGAGGGGTTCCGCTGGAAGCAATATGTGCTGCTGCATCATGGGCTTCCCCAAGCACGTTCACCAGATTTTATAGAGTTAACGTGGCCACCCCTCATCCCCTGGGCCAGGTTCTTCTACAAGGGTCCTCTGGGCCTCCTCAGTGAGGTGGATGTTTAGAATTCCTTGTGACATCGTTGGTATTAGTCAATCAGTGCTTTCAGCACCACCCTCTGGCGGTCAGGAGGGATGAAATAGAACGAAAGTTATTATGTAACTACGGTTCTATGAATCCTGGATGACCGCCAGAGCTTCTATGTCACTCAGAATCCTTGCGTTCCAAGAGAAGATTCTGTAGGAGCAGAGCTGCGGATGACGTCGAGCAATATAGCCTCTGATTGGTCATCCGTGTCACACCTGTGACTCCGTTGGTATTATTACTTTAACAGCGCATGCGCGAAGGGAACATTTAGTGCTTTCAGCACCGCCCTCTGGCGGTCATCCGGGATTCATAGAACCGTAGTTACATACGTAACTTTCGTTTTCTTTTGTTTTAGTTTGTGTTTTCTCTTGTTTTAACTTGTGTCGTCTATTGTTTTGGTTCGTGTTTTCTCTTGTTTTAATTCGTGTTTTCTCTCTTTTTTACTCGTGTTTTCTCTCGTTTTAACTCGTGTTTTCTCTCGTTTTAATTCGTGTTTTCTCTCGTTTTAACTCGTGTTTTCTCTCGTTTTAACTCGTGTTTTCTCTCGTTTTAACTCGTGTTTTCTCTCGTTTTAACTCGTGTTTTCTCTCGTTTTAGTTCGTGTTTTCTCGTTTTAGTTAGAGTTTTCTCTTGTTTTAACTTATCTTTTGCTTGTCTGATCTTGTGTTATACGTGTTTTACCATCTTCGGCTGATTTCAGCAGTTACCTCAGGGCCATCTTGCTCCGGCGGGTCTGCTGCACTGTCACGCTGACCTTTGGTTTGTCTGGAGGGGTGAGCTCGTTGGCCACCAGCTGAGCATCAACAGAGATCTGTTGGAGAAACGAAATGATCTGAACTCCACTCTGCAGCTCAAACCCTGGATGTGCTCTGGTTCTGATCAGGTACCGTTTTGAAGACACTACTGATCATGCCTGCCACCAGAGGACTCCTGCTGTCCACCAGCAGGTCCAACATCACCGATAGAAGCTTCTGCTGCACCTTCTCGTCTCCCAGAGCTGAGAAGAACGGCTTGGTGATCTGCAGAGACAATGGAGGAAACGGATCTGAAAACACTATCCCGTTCAGGAAACAGGCCCGACTAATTCCTGGAGTCTCAGCAGTCGGTTGTACAAACCGGATTCCAAAAAAGTTGGGACACTAAACAAATTGTGAATAAAACCTGAATGCAATGATGTGGAGGTGCCAACATCTAATATTTTATTCAGAATAGAACACAAATCACAGATCAAAAGTTTAAACTGAGAGAATGTATCATTTTAAGGGAAAAATCTGTTGTTTCCAAATTTCATGGCGTCAACAAATCCCCAAAAAGTTGGGACAAGTCCATTTTTACCACTGTGTGGCATCCCCCCTTCTTCTTCCAACACTCAACAGACGTCTGGGGACAGAGGAGACCAGTTTCTCCAGTTTAGAAATAGGAATGCTCTCCCATTCATGTCTAATACAGGCCTCTAACTGTTCAATCGTCTTGGGCCTTCTTTGTGGCACCTTCCTCTTTATGATGCACCAAATGTTCTCTATAGGTGAAAGATCTGGACTGCAGGCTGGCCATTTCAGTACCCGGATCCTTCTCCTACGTAGCCATGATGTTGTGATTGCTGCAGAATGTGGTCTGGCATTATGGTGTTGAAAAATGCAGGGTCTTCCCTGAAAGAGATGACGTCTAGATGGGAGCATATGTTGTTCTAGAACCTGAACATAGTTCTCTGCATTAATGGTGCCTTTCCAGACATGCAAGCTGCCCATGCCACAAGCGCTCATGCAACCCCATACCATCAGTGATGCAGGCTTCTGAACGGAGCGTTGATAACAACTTGGGCTATCCTTGTCCTCTCTGGTCCGGATGACATGGCGTCCCAGTGTTCCATAAAGAACTTCAAATGGTGACTCATCTGACCACAGAACAGTCTTCCATTTTGCCACACTCCATTTTAAATGACCCCTGGCCCAGTGCAAACGTCTGAGCTTGTGGAGCTTGCTTAGAAATGGCTTCCTCTTTGCACTGTAGAGTTTCAGCTGGCAACGGCGGATGGCACGGTGGATTGTGTTCACTGACAATGCTTTCTGGAAGTATTCCTGAGCCCATTCTGGTATTTCCTTGACAGTGGCATTCCTGTTTGAGGTGCAGTGACGTTTAAGGGCCCGGAGATCACGAGCATCCAGTAGAGTTTTACGGCCTTGACCCTTACGCACAGCGATTGTTCCAGATTCTCTGAATCTTTTGACGATGTTATTCACGGTTGATGACGATAACTTAAAAGTCTTTGCTATTTTACGCTGGGTAACACCATTCTGGTATTGCTGCACTATCTTTCTGCCCAACAATGGTGGAATTGGTGATCCTCTTACCATCTTGGCTTCTGAGAGACACTGACACTCTGAGAAGCTCTTTTTATACCCAATCATGTTGTCAATTGACCTAATTAGTGTTAATTGGTCTTCCAGCTGTTCGTTATATGCTCAATTTCCTTTTTCCAGCCACTTATTGCTACTTGTCCCAACTTTTTTGGGATTTGTTGACACTGTGAAATTTTGAATCAACATATTTTTCCTTTAAAATGTTACATTTACTCAGATTAAACTTTTGATCTGTCATCTATGTTATATTATGAATAAAATATTGACATTTGCCATCTCCACATCATTGCATTCAGTTTTTATTCACAATTTGTTTAGTGTCCCAACTTTTTTGGAATCTGGTTTGTAAACTGAGATCAGGTTTAAAACAGAAAACCTGAAGAAAATTGTGCTTCAGATTTTATTATAATTATAAATTGTATTATAATTTATAATAATTAATATAACTGGTTATAGAGATTATAGATTATTATACCATACCACTTCATTTATAAAGCACTTAAAACAGCAACAAGACCAACCAAAGTGCTGTACAGACAGAACAACAGGTAACACACAAAGCAAAATACAAAATGAGGTAAATCAGAATATAGACATAAAAACGATGCAGATAATGACGACAAACCAGTGTGGAGCATACAGGATCAAACACAGATCATCTGGTGTTGAAAGCTACTGAATAGTAGTGAGTTTTTAAACGGGACTTGAAAACCGAGAGGGAGGGGTCCTGTCTGACAAGCAGAGGTAACTCGTTCCAAAGTCTTGGTCCTATAATGAATATAATGTCACAGATTTTATTTGAGCAAACCCGACTTTGGACTGAAATTCAATTCAATTCAAAAATACTTGATTAATCCCATAGGGATTTAAATAAACCCAGTTTTAGACCAGAACGTGGTCTAGACTATAATCTGGAGACTCACCTGCTCCAGAGCATAAACCTGACACCCAGGCAGCTGCAAGGCTCTGACGAACAGGTCCAAACAGTTCTGGTCCCGGCTCAGCAGCGGTGCAGACGTCTCGTTAAACTTCCCCAGAACCAGCCGTAGCAGCTGGGTCTCACTCTGCAGCAGGGTCGGGACGTCTGGACCCATCTGGTCCAGGAGCCGGTCCAGAACGGGTAGCAGGGCTGCCATGATGGACTGAAAAGTTCAGAAAGAACAAAGAACAAGATTTTAGAGAACCTCTATAGGATCTCTGTATTACCTCTAAAGCACATCTACATGATCTCTACAGCGCCTCTATGGGATATCTTTCTCATACAGCAGCACCTTATAGTGGTGAAGGCTGCACAGAAGATGTTGGAGTCAGTCTCCCCACCATCACAGACATCTACACCTCCAGATGCAGGAAGAGAGCCACCTGCATCATGAAGGACCACACTCACCCAGCACACACACTTTTTGCCCCACTCCCCTCAGGAAGGAGGTTGAGGAGCATTAAGTGTAGAACCACTAGACTGAGGAACAGCTTCTACCCTGAGGCTGTTAGACTCATGAATCTCTAACTAGAATAATCACTGTGAAAAACCATATCATGTTGCTGCTGATCTGTTTCATGTTGCTGCTGATCTGTTTCATGCTGCTGCTGATCTGTTTCAATGTTGATGTGTTCATGCGTGCACATCTGCTCACAGACTCATGTTCATGTTTGTGCTGATGTTCAATGTTTTTATGTTATGAGCGCTTAGTGCTTAGAGTGCGTTACAGTCGTCCAGCTGAGAGGTCACAAAGACGTGAACTAATGTTTCAAAATGCTGCTTAGAAAGAATCAGCTTCACTTCAGCTGCCTCAGATGGAACAAACAAGTTTTAACAACTGCTCTGACGTGATTTTCTAATTTTAGTCCAGCATCGACTTTGACCCTCAAGTTTGTAATAACTGGCCTGATGTACTGGACCAATGAACCGACATTGACATTGGGAGTCTCAGTGGAGCTTCCAAAGACCATCACCTCAGTCTTTCCTTCATTAAACTTTAAGAAGTTCACAGCCATCCAGGCTTTGACGTCCTCCAGACATGAAGACAGAGGAGCCAGAGAGTTACAGTCCTTTTTCTTTAGCGGGACATATATCTGTGTATCATCTGCGTAACAATGAAAGGAGATCCCATATTTTCTTAAAATAGAACCAAGAGGGAGCAGGTATAGCGTGAAGAGGAGGGGGCCTAAGACTGAGCCCTGTGGAAGCCCACACAAGAGAGGAGCAGAGGACACATGGTCACCAAGGTGGACACACAAAGTACGCTCCGCTAAGTAGGACCTGAACCAGTCCAGTGCTGCACCGCTGACCCCCCCCCCACTGCTTCAAATGATAAAGTAAGATGTTCTGGTCCACGGTGTCAAAAGCAGCTGCTAAGTCTAAAAGCAGGAGGACAACACAGTCACCAGAGTCCGTTGATAAAAATATGTTGTTGAAAACCTTTAAAAGAGCAGATTCTCTACTGTGTAGAGCTTTAAAGCCAGACTGTAAAACCTGGAGAATGTCCTGTTCTTTCAAATATACTGATGGTCGTACACCACCTTCTCAAGAGTTTTGAAAGAAACGACAGGTTAGAGATTGTCCTGTAGTTGACAAGAACAGAGGGTCCAGAGTGGGTTTCTGAATGAGAGGCTGGACCGCTGCATGTTTAAAATTTCCAGGGACCACACCGGAGGACAGGCTGCTGCTCAGAAGAGCAAGGACCGAAGGACCCACAGTGAAGAAGACCTCTCTGAATAAACGAGGAGGAATAGCGAGGATCTCTATATTACCTCTACAAATAAAAGTATAATTTTAAACAAAGCTTCCTAACATCACATCAGACCTGTTCCTTCACATTTCCACCTCTACTTTAAAAAAAATGTCTGCCCCTCAAACTTCAAAGTCATGGGCAATTTTATTCAAAAACACCTTTTGTGAACAATCTGATGTGTGAATCACAGCGAGGAGGAGGCGCAGCTGGAGGAGGAGGAGGAGGCGCAGCTGACCCCGGTGTGGAATATATTAACTAAACTATGAGAAATGATCCTGCACTTAAAACACTTATAAATCACACATAAAACATTTAAAAGTAAAATTATAAACTGGCTGTGATTTTAGCCTCTTTTGGGGGGGGGTGCTCAACCGCCCCTAAATTTTAACTCGGCACTCCTGGAAAATAAAGAAACCATCATTAAGGTTTTGTAAACTCAGTTTTCAAACGTTGGATTCACCAAAATATTGCACAAATATTGAATAAATCTGGAATAAATGACGACAGTCTTAAAATGGGCCGGTAAAATCTACGAGTTCTTTTTGCAGTACTCGGTTCCTGGACCACCTGTCAATCAGTCCAGTAGGCTCGTCAGCAACTGACCAATGAGTGACCCGAGTTCGTCCAGAAGTGAACGGCCCCACCTGCAGAGCTGCAGCTTCGCAGTATTTCAATAATGAGTTTACATCTTTAACGTTCATCTACTTTTAATAAACCTGTACAATGCAGCAGAATGGATCTACTTTATTCAGAATTCTCTGGGGGAGGATCCCACGACCCCCCCCCCCCCCCCCCCCCTCCCCCCAACGGTCTGTGAAAATGTTGTCTGACATTAAACTGGTCCGTGGCACAAAAAAGGTTGGAGACCACTGCTCTACATGACCTCTGCATGACCTCTACAGAACCACTGACCGGTCCGTTAACGAGGCTGAGCGCTCGCAGCAGGGCGGCGGCGCTGTAGGACGGGCAGCAGGGGTTCTGGACGCTCCTCAGCAGCTGCTGCAGCGACTCCTGCAGCTTCTTCTGTTTGCTGGATGAAGACTCGTCATGAAGGACTCCGAGAACCTGCAGGTTAACAGAAGAACCGGGCTTCAGACTTGGATCAGAACAGTTCTGTGGTTTTGTCCTGCAGTCTAAACCCGCTTGGTGAACTCACGGTGCTCAGGTACAACGGGTCGGAGAGCAGCTCCTCAGAGGTCTTCAGCAGCCGCTCTGTGATTGGCTGAAAGGGGGAGCTCCTGGATCCTGATAGGCTCTGCAGGACGCTGAGGGCAGCCCGTCGGACCTCCTGCACCGGGGAAGTGAGACAGCACAGCATGGACGGGACCACTGAAACAGAGACACACAGAGAGGACAGGCGTCACGCAGAGCTCTGAATCCAAACCTTCCGAGTCCAAAGAAGACCTCCAGAACATCTGCAGAACCTCAGACCTGGTCCACTTTGATCCGGTCTAACTGAGGCGAGGACTTTCTTGGACTAAAAACCCAAAAAGACTTTGGAAACTCGACTTGTGACTTCTACTCTCCAGATATTTTCTCACCAGGTGAGTCTGCAGCTGCCAGCTCGTCCAGCCTGGGGACAGTCCAGCAGTCCAGCAGAACTCGACCCACGTACAGAGCCCGGGTCTGAAGGACGGCCCCCACCTTCACGTCCAGCTGGTCTCCATGGTTACAACCATACCCCCACAGGACACACAAGAACCTGAAGAGGGAAGCCGGCTCTGGCAGGTGGACCTGAAGAAGACGGACACATCGACTCAACTCTGAAACATGAGCACAAAGGTAAGGACGGCGGGGGACGGTGTCTCACCTGGACGAGCAGCTTCATCAGGTCCCTGAAGACTCTGGCTGTCGGACCCGCGCCGTCACCGCTGAGGACGAGATTGAAGACACGACAGAGCAGACCCAGGTAGCAGCAGGTGTTTGTGTCCAGCTTCTCCGGGTTCCACCAGGAACCTCCTGGAGGACAGAAAAGTGACAGAGACATGTGATAGAGACAGGTGGAGAGACAGGTGAAAGAGACCGGTGAAGAGACAGGTGGAGAGACAGGTGGAGAGACAGGTGAAAGAGACATGTGATAGAGGCAGGTGAAAGAGACAGGTGGAGAGACATGTGATAGAGACA